TAGGGGCCCCGTGAAGAGATTCTGATGAGGGAGGAGGGGGCAAGAAAATTATTTTGAAATATAGTAGTAAATCAAACTGTAAGTTGTGGAATTTAAAAACAAACCAGGGATTTAGATTGGATTATTTGAGATTAGTTCAAACTTGAACAATAAATCAAGATAAAAACATATTTTCTTTTTAAACCCAATAATACGTTCAAATTTTGTTAATATATTTTCTGGATATATATATATATATATCCATTATCCTGAAGTATGCTTAGCAGAAAACATAATGTCGATACAATAAAACTTCAAATCATGTTTTAAATACTTATTTTCTCTTATATATGAGGATGTTTATCTTTTTTTAATAAATATTAAATTAATTATTATATATATATTTATAGAGGAAAACATTTACTAGAAAAAGGTGGAAACAACGAACTCGAAGTAGGATTTCCAGCGAACAAAACGTTTTCGTTCGTGTTTCGCAAAATTTTTTTGCGAAATTTCGCATTTTTCGCGAAAATGAACGAAGAGAAAAATGCAAAAACGAAGTGAAACGTTGTAGAAGCTGTATTTTGTTTTTGGATGAATTTTTGCTAAAAGCTTTTCTGTATTTAAATTTCGCATTTTTTCGCGCAACAGAATATGCCGAAATTTCGCGAAAAAATCGAAAATTTTCTGGAAACGATTTTTATTTTTCGCTGGAACCCCAAAGAGGTCAATAAACCAAAGGATTTTTTTTCTTAAAACATGCTTTATTTGTCCTGACAACACGTTAAGGATTTAGTTTCTACTTTAAAACGTGCTGAGTTATAGTATGTCCTAATAGCACGTCAGGTATCTAAATTCTACTTAAAACGTGCTGACTACCTTTTCCTAATAACTACGTCTAAAAGCTAAGTTCCTAAATAAAACGTGCTTACTAACGTGTCCCAATAGCACGTCAGGAAGCTAATTTATAAGATAAAATGTGCTGGTTTACTTGACCTTACAGCACTTCAATAAGCTAAATTCTTAAATTTAACGAGCTTGCTACCTAAAGTCCTGATACCCAAGTCCAAAATCTATAGTTCTTCTATTAAAGGTGATGACTAAAATTGTCCTAAAAGCACGTTAGGAAGCAAGGTTCTCGCTTAAATCATGTAGACTAACTTGTCCCATAATAGCACGTCAAAAAAGCTATGCTCTTCATCAAAACGTGCCAAGGTGCTGTACAGTGTACACTGTGCACTGTACTTGTATTATGATCATAATGTACAGAATGTTAAATGTCTGGGCTATTATGCACAATGGACAGAATGCTTCACACACTCATAATCACACAATTCACATACACACACTGTGCCGGACGTCGTTATTCATAAACTCAGAAAGTTTGCAAATGCACTCTGATTAATATTAGTAGATATATAATTATCTATCTATTTATCTATCTATTTGTTTATTTACAAATCCATTTATCTATTTATTTATTTAATTTTCTATTTCTCTCATGTGCACTTTTTCCCCAGGGCGACTTGTTACATTCACTCCATCTGTCTATTTCCTATACATGTCTGTCCCCATGGCTGTCTATCTATCTGTTTGTCTGTATATCTGTCTAGCTTTCTGTCTATCTGTCTTTCTGTATATCTGTATTCTGTGCCTGTTTAGCTGTTTGGTTATGTCTCTACCTGTCCGTTTGTATGTCTGTCAGCTCTTTTCCTGTCTTTGTCTATTGATATATCATATATCAGAAACATGTTTACCTATTAAATAAATGTCTATCAACGTCCATTTATGTCTTTATATTTTTGTCTTTTGATCGTGGTTCTGTACTTTGTCTATCTATGTATCCATTATATGTCTAAGATCTATACTATGTATCCATCTATCTATGTATTCATTATATGTCTAAGATCTATACTATGTATCTGTCTATCTATGTATCCATTATATGTCTAAGATCTATACTACGTATATATCTGTCTACCTATGTATCCATTATATGTCTAAGATCTATACTTTCTGTCTATCTATGTATCCATTATATGTCTAAGATCTATACTATGTATCTGTCTATCTATGTATCCATTATATGTCTAATATCTATACTACGTATATATCTGTCTATCTATGTATCCATTATATGTCTAAGATCTATACTATGTTTGTGTCTATCTATGTTTCCATTATATGTCTTAGATCTATACTATGTGTCTGTCTATCTATGTATCCATTATATGTCTAAGATCTATACTACGTATATATCTGTCTAACTATGTATCCATTATATGTCTAAGATCTATACTATGTTGTATCCATTATATGTCTAAGATCTATACTATGTATCTGTCTATCTATGTATCCATTATATGTCTAAGATCTATACTATGTGTCTGTCTATCTATGTATCCATTATATGTCTCAGATCTATACTATGTATCTGTCTATCTATGTATCCATTATATGACTAAGATCTATACTACGTATATATCTGTCTATCTATGTATCCATTATATGTCTAAGATCTATACTACGTATATATCTGTCTATCTATGTATCCATTATATGTCTAAAATCTATACTATGTATCTGTCTATCTATATATCCATTATATGTCTAAGATCTATACTACGTATAGATCTGTCTATCTATGTATCCATTATATTTCTGAGATCTATACTACGTATATATCTGTCTATCTATGTATCCATTATATGTCTAAGATCTATACTATGTGTCTGTCTATCTATGTATCCATTATATGTCTCAGATCTATACTATGTATCTGTCTATCTATGTATCCATTATATGTCTAAGATCTATACTATGTATCTGTCTATCTATATTTATCGCCGGACTAGCGTATATAAGTAAACCATACGTTGCGAGTACAGTGCGTAAACTTCGCAAAAACAATTAAATTAAAATTTTTGGAAAATATATTCTGACTTTTTTCATTTTTGAATTATTTAAAAATATTAAACATTTTTGTTCAGTCGTTTTAATATTGCTAAATAGAAGTTTCGAAATTTACCTAATTTGACTTTAAGGACAAATTTTATAGCTTGGAGCATTTAATAACAATGGAAACTAGGGGAGATGGGGGATTTGAAGAAGGGGGGATTAGGAAGGGGAAACTGGGGGAAAGGAGAATCAACATTTAATGGAAAGTTTTTGCGTCTCTGTTTCTCATGCGTAGAGTGAAAGATTGTTTATTATGTTTATTATGAACTTTTAATTTTCACATAATTCATTCATGAAAATTGTCGAAATTAATCAAAATCTTGTTAATTAATTTTACCACCTTTTTACCAACATAACCGAGCTATGATTCCCCATCAAAGGTACTTTAAGTTACTATACGTCCCTTGGGAAAATTAAGTAAAATAACAAACTGATGTGCAAAGTTTTCGTGAAAAAATTTGCACAATATCATCTCAAAAGACGATCAAATTCTTTTACGGGAAATTAAAATTTTACTTAACCACGGGTTCTCTTTAGTAAAATGAAATTCCCTCAACTTTCCTGCAAAGTAGATATAATGCTTATTAAACCTATTTTAGAAAACAGTTTAAAAATAGGTTTTGTTGTAAGCTCATGGTTATAGTATAATTGTACACACTCATATTAATAGCGCCAGGTTTAAGAAGTTCAGCCATGAAGTCATTTTTAACACATTCATTATAATCCAACAACTTAAAATAGTGAATTGTTTTACAGAGAAACACATTACAAGACATTAAATTATGTCACTTTAGCAACCTTGGAGCTTAAATAAATAATTCCAATATCCTGTGTCGAAACGGCTAAAACACTGGTATCTGCACATTTAAGCGTAAATTGCGGATTTTTACAATTTTAACTATTTTGTTTAGAAATCTCTGTTTTTCGACAAAATGTAATCTCGACTTGATTTTTCGTGAAACTGACCAAGAATGTTTAAATATTTACATTATACAGATTTACTCAAAACTTTGCAGTACAAAATACGCTTTTTCTATCAAGATATTGATAGATATAGATATTGAATACTAAAATGTTCAAAAAATATCGAAACTATAAAAGTAAATTACTACAATGTTCCAAAAATGCAGTATTTTGGAACAACTAATTTTATACTTTTATCTTTTTAGATGTTTTTAATAATTTTTTATTTTGATCTTTGTCTGAATTGTCACAGGAAAGAGAGAGGGAGAGATCTTATCATGTATCATGTATCATGTATCATGTATCATGTATCATGTATCATGTATCATGTATCATGTATCATGTATCATGTATCATGTATCATGTATCGTTTATCATGTGGATAAAAGAAATAATGATTTTTTTAATTTTCCGGAGGTTGGTGTTCCAAAAATAATTTCCTTTAAAATATAGAAAATTTACTAAGATTATGATTTTAAAAAGAAACGTAAAATAAAAATAATTTTAATGTTTGAGGATAAAAAAAAGTTTAGAAAGGGGAAAAAAGGAAATTGATATTTTTTGACACTTATCAACCATAGATTTTCTCCAGTCATTTCACACTCAATTCCGCTTAGTTCAACTCAATTTTATTTATTTCAATCTTATAGAAGAGCTCTCTCTCTATCTCTCTCTCTCTCAAAAACTCTCTTTGTAAATATAATATCTAGGTTTAACGCTTGTTATTCTAACATTTTCATTGTTAAACTATTTTTTGTTCTCTTTTCTCTCTTCTTGTTTTTATTTAAAAACCTCTGTGTTTTTCCATCTCATCATTCAAACTTTTCTTAAATTTTTGTTACTTCTCACCTTTAATCTCAATATTTTGTCAATATCTTTTCTTTATTTTCTCTCTTTTCTAGTTGTTCTTTTCATTATCTGCAGTCCTACTTTGTTCTTCTTTCTCTGTCTTACAGTTAATTTTAGTTTCTTTGTTCTTACTTTGATATTTTTAAAAATTCTAGCTTTATCTTTCTATATTTAATTTTCTTTGCTTTTCCTCTTATCCCATAGTTCTTTAATCTTACAATAAATTAAATGAGATTATTAAAAAATAAATATTTTACATTAAAAATTATATTTAAATATAAATCATTATTTGAGCAAAAAAGGACATTTTGTACAAATTCATAATATCTCTAGATTCTAGAATAAAATGAACAAAACTATAAAAATGTTTAAAGTAAATAAAATTTTAACCTTGAAGCTCTTTGGCACATTATAGGAATATCATGTTTAAATATATGTAGATTGGCTTCTGACGCATTTTACGCATAAATGAATTTGCCATTTTGAGTGAGGGGGGGGCGAATGGTGAATTAATTCCGAAAATGTGCGGGAAGTTATGGGGGGGGGCGCTAGGTTAAAACGAACAACTTTTACGGAGTTGATTCTGCAAAATTTTGACGTATTTTGCACTGGATTGTGTTGCAAATATTGTGCAAGTAAACAGAAGTATTTTGAACGAAACTCCGGTAATTGATCAATAAAGAAATAAAAACGCAAAAAAAGGTTTTAAAAAAAGGAACTTTGGAAAAATATGAATTAATAACTTTATAAACTAAATCTGAAGAATAATCGGAGTAAAATCACAATCAGAGCAGGTTGATAAACTTTCATCGCAGGATGAATTGTTCTCCAGGTTCAGTTTTGAACTGGATCGGACTGACCGATGGTTCTCCAGGACCTGAATACAATGATGCTGACCGTTAACGGTGACCACTGAGCTACAGCTACAACTGGAGACTCCTGAGCTCTCTTGTGAACTAGTTTGTGAAGTTGTAGAGCCAGCTCTCCGTCCTCTAACCTCATCCTTACTCCGGGGTAGCTCGTCCTTACTATCCCCTCCTATGTTTAATATGTCCCGGAGAAAAGTAGTTGCTCGTCTAGCGTAGAAACTTTCCGTCTGTTGTACTCCACCTGGAGAACCTGGATCCGTCCTTGAACCTTGGGTTGGAGTAGAGGTTTTCTGAAGGAACACGGTAGAGATACGGTTACGTTCCAGGGAACGGGGTGGGGTATTTACACGTTCCATGGGAGGAGTTCCAAGGCGAGACGTTCCCATGTAGGGAATCCTGGTCCTAGCTCGTCCGTCCCGTCCTAGTTTGGATTCGGAGCTATAGTTTGCCAGGGAGATAAACCTGTCCCCGTGTCTAGTTCTAGACTCCAGGTTGGATAAAGATACATATTTCTTCTCACTCAAGGAACTTTCTTCATTCACATGTAGCTTTGTACTCGGCCCAATTGATATTGTAACTGCCCCTGAATGGTCGGTTTCTTGGTTTTGAACTAGCGAGTCTTGCGAGTCTACAGTGTCTATATCAGCTCGAATAGCCTGAAAGGAGCTGGTGATTTCAATGCCTCCGGTTTGTCCTGAAACAGAATAATTCATGATATTACCATGAAGCTGAGAATATGGTTTAAATTTTAACGTTAATTCGATAGATTTGGCAGGATTCCAGATTGTTTGAATTTACCAAGAATTGCAGAGATAGATTTGGTGTAAGAAAGACAGAAACCCCTAAAGACAAATGGTAGGCCTTGAAACACTGGCTTGAAATCAATATTTTTTATAATATTTCCCCGGTTAGATAGGATACCAATCGATAGATAGAATTGTTAGATAGATAGATAGATAGTTCCCACGGTTTTTAGTTTCAACACATTTACTCACACACACGTCATTGGTACAATACCACATACTCACAGACACACTACTAGCTTCGCTTGGGTTGAAAAGAAGTGTTTAAAACGTCTCAAGAAGTCTCGAAAAATAAAAAAAAATCCTGGCCGAAATTTATTATTTCCCACCCCCTTTCAACTAGTTGGTATATAAATAGATATTATTTCTTGGCTGCCCTTATTATACCATGTGTTATTGAGTCATTTTGTCCCAGCTATCCGGGATAAAATCACTTGAGCCTAGATGAAATATTCTTAGGGTTGAAAACAATGTTTAAAGAGTCGAAAAAAGTCGAGAAAAATAAAAAAGCAAGGCCGAAATATTTTATTTTCTAGTCCCTCTTCAACTAGTAGCACTCCTGTATGCCGAGTCCATTAGCGTCTGATCCAATCAGGGTTCAGTCATGAGTTTGGTGTCTATTCTGAACCAATAGAAATAGTATGGCGGTAATATCTATCTTTCTATCTATCTCATTATCCAATTAGAGTTAAATTCTTATATCGGCGCTATCAGTAAATGGAAATATTTACTTCTACTAAAACTATAGTGGTAGGTATATAGGTGGTTTTACTTCTTTGCTCGAGCAAATTTCCTCTTCATTTTTTATTATGTTGTCGCTTTCATCCAGAAAACATTAATCCAGATGTTGATTCTTAAAGTAGAACTTTTTTCTTGTTCTCATTTATCCTGAAACTTTTCACTAAACTCACAAAATCTTTCGCAAAAAATACGCAACTTAATTATTAAAATATGACAAATTGCAGTCCTGGATACTGTTGGAAAGATTTACTCTATTTCCCCTTATTAACAGAATTCAGCATGCTATAAGTAGTTTACAATGTTGGCGTCTGTATCCTGTCTCAGAAATCGGAAATAAGTTGGAAACTCTTCTTCCGATGGCATTCTTGTATCAAAATCCAAAATTTGCGAATTTTAATAATTAAGTTGCGTATTTTTTGCCAAAGATTTTGTGAGTTACGTTAACAGTTTCAGGATAAATGAGAATGTAATACGAAAAAAGTTCTACTTTTAGAATCAACATCTTGATTAATGTCACAAGCAAACGCTTTTCTGGATGAAAGCGACAACATAATAAAAAATGAAGAGGGAATTTGCTCTCAGCAAAGAAATAAAACCACCTATATACCTACTAGTTGAAGAGGGACTAGAAAATAAAATATTTCGGCCATGCTTTTTTTCTACTTTTTTCGGAATAAAAGTAGTTATGAACGTTATAGTTACACTTTCAAGCACACAGAAATGCATATTCGTAATAAAAACACACAATAAAGCGCATTGTAAACACACAAGTTTATTCGCACTAACGTTAGTTATCGAGTGCCGAAAATGTTTTAAGTGCATTAACACAAATGTTACTGCAATAACACAGATTATACAGAGTTTGAAAAAAATATTATTCAAAAAACACAAGTTGTATTGTCCAAACACACATGAAATTACACAAAAACAAAATAGAGGCGACAAAGAGACATTGAAATGAATGAACACACAGTAAAGTGAAAAAACACATTGGAATAGACTAACATACAGTAAAGTGAAAAAAAACACATTGGTATGGACTAACACACAGTAAAGTGAAGAATAAACACATATAAGAGTGGACACATATTGGGCACCCCCGTGTTAAAGTGTGAGATGAGTTTAAAGATCTAAAAAATTGTTTTCTTAGCTTTAAAAGGTTACTTATAGATGCATATCCGGTAGTGCATACATATATGTAAGATAAAAAGATGGGTTGGAATTTAGAAGTGACAAAAATATGGGTGAGTTTTAAGGATGGGATGATTTGGAGGCCAGAATTGAATTGATAAAATGGATATGAATGAGATGGAAGGGTGGGATGAATGAATTAATTGGTTAAAACTGGATTTATAAAATATTTGTGAAATTGTGGATGAGATATATATGATGGATGAGAAGGAACGAATGGATGAGATCTTAAGAATATTTCAATGAGATACGAAAGTAGAGTTTGAGAATGATAATTATCAAAGAATCAAGAACAAAAATATATCTGGATAGTATAGCAGGGTGATCTGTACAAACAAGAGTATAGACCAGTTTATAAAGACTCATAATAGACCTTTTACTATGTTAGTTTACAAAAATGTAGAATTCCTAGCAGTAAATTCTATTTATGCAAACAGTTTAACCTTTTAGATTCTTATCATTCGATTTGCCAAGGAATGTAAACACAAAACAATTTACAATACATAACATTTCTTTAGATATTGTTGGTATAATGAATCCTGAATGTCTAAAAACCTGAACAAGCCCTTCAGAATCCCTTTTTTACCTATTTTATCCAGGTCGAATAGACTGGAGGACCCAGCTGCGCTGAGACAAGCTAAAACAAGCTGACCGTTGACAAGCCTCGCATCACCGCTCCTTATCAAGGATAGAACCAAGGGCGGGGAGGTGAGAGGGGGTAGGGAGGTAAACCCGGGCCCTGCAACTATCTCGGGGGTTGAGGTACGGGAGAACGCCCCTGAAAAATAATAAATGTTAAAATTTGATATTTCAAGCAACTCTTAGTCTATGCTTTTTCAAGCCTTGGTTCTAGATACAGATTTAAGTAAATAAAATTAAATGTCTTGAAAAATGTCCCAAAAAAAAGTTACCTGAATCGTAGTTAGAATCTGTTACAGAATTTGATGAACTAGAAACACGCTCATTCTCCTCCCCTCCTAGTCTCTCCTCTAAACGGAGACGCTCTGCTGCTTCAAGCTCTGGCTGCTCCTCCGTCGTGGTATCATGAGCAGCTTTTTCTGCCAGAGCAGCACGCTGCTCTTTTCTTTTTCTTCTTCGGGAGTTTAACCGCTTATCTAGCTGCAGATGCATGGTAGGAAGGCTGGTATTGAGCTGCTCATCTGCAGCTGCTCTTAGATCTATGCTGCTCTTAGTTTCTGCTTGATTTAGAAGCTTTCTTGAATCCAGCATTGGTTTCACAAACTCCCGTTCAAATCTTTCTATTTCGTACTCTGGGTTTAGGTGTGCTAAGTGGGGGTGCTCGATTTGCAGATTTTCTACTTTTCGCTTCTTCTCGCGTTTTTTGCTAAAATGGCGCGTTTTCTTAGGACTAGGAGATAGTTTAGGCAGGGTTTCACCCCGTCCGACTAATTTCTGAAGAACTTCGCCTTTACTTAGTTTGGGTAGGGTTTCTCCCCTAGTGGGTAGGGCGGGTAGGGGGCGGTTTGTCAGGGTATGCAGTGACTCCCCAATGCTGGTGAACTTGGGTAGGGAGTCGAACCGCGAAGAGAGGTGCTCCTTGGAACTCCATTTAGAGGGGGAGAAGTCGACGGAGTCGCTGGTTTGGAGGGACAGGGAGTAACTCCTAGTTGGCAGGCGACGGGGCTTGGAGTCTTTTCTTTTTGAATCTTCAGAACATCTAGAAAATAATGAATAAATAATAAGTAAATCAATTAATGAATGAATGAATAGATGAATGGAGGGATTAAGTTTCTAATGAATTTGGCATGATCTACTAATGAACATGTTCACGGTTAAACCATCAGTGGAGTGCTGTGTGGGGAGATTTGACCGAAAAACGTCAAAAATTAATTATGTTCTTAAAGAACTAAAAGCAGGATAGGTTGTAACGAGCTATCTCATAAAAATATAAATTTATTGAGATTGAAAATTCCAGAAATAGCGGGATATTATAATATATTATGGTTCAAGCATATCTGCTATTCACAGAACAATTTAACAAAAAGAAATTTGATAGCTTGACAAATTATAAAACAAAAGAAAAAAAAGAAAAAGACTTTTTACCTTGTAAAATTGTTCCCACCGAATCCATCAATTTGTTCCTCATCCCGCCGTTTAATCGCCAACAAGACGGGATCAGACTGAAGTTTAGGGGCGGTTCCCGCCGTGTCTCCCACTCCTAATATCCCCGCCTTACCCCGGCTGAATGAGCTAAATATTCTCAACCGCCCCCCGCCGCCGCCGTCACCCTTCTTTTCCTTCTTCATCCCTGGGTTCCAGGCCTAGATATAAATAACAATGAATAATTAAATACATTTTAAAAGGAACTAAAAACTTCCCTCAAAGAGTCAAATTTGCGGTTTATGCAAAATTACTGGCACAACTTTGTGACCTCGTAGCTCTTCTGGCTTGATTTTACGCCGAAGTATGAAAATAGAAAATTTGCAACATTTTGTTCTTCTCAATAACTCTTCAATAAGTAGAGAGATGATGGAAAACATATTAGTTATCAATCTGATTACTTTAGTTTAATGTAACCTAGTGACATTTGACTTTTTTGACTATTTGATTTTGCATAAATTTGACTAGAAAATGTCTAAGGTGTACGACATCAGGTTGCAAATATAAAACAGTTCAGAAATTAGAGTTTGAAGTGAGTAATCAGTTTCTTTGGATAAATAAAAACAACTTTCAGAATATTATGAAATATTTTAGATAAAATATTATTTAGCCTACTTTTATGTTTATAATTTATTCATATGATTCCGCACCAAAAATGTTTTATGTATTATAAAAAATAAAATGCATTTTGAACTAAATCCGAAAAAGAAATCAATTCGATCATAACAAAAATTTTGAAAAAGAATTTTTAATACATATAACAAAATTTTCAGTTTTAAATGTATTATTATTGAGACAGTTTCTATTCTATGTACATACGTCTATACAATATGCATGAATGTACTATGTACATTGTACAACTATGTGTATAGTTTATAGGATTATCTTTAGAAAAAACAAAAAATAATTTTCAGTTTTCAAACCAAAACAAGATCCTCCGCACCTTTACTTTGCTTAGCACTGGCATTATCAATATCTATAGGAAGGGATGGATCACTTACTCCGGGTCTAGGTATAATCAAGGAGAATATCAGAGCTAGAACCGTTCTACTATCATGGAAGGAGATGGAAATACTGAGTAGGAATAATAATACTTGGAATGGATAATTATGGGGGCTGGTAGTAGGTTACTACAAAAGGAATACTTCATACTATGTGTATAATTATTTAATACTATCAGAGAATTAAATAATAAAATGTTACAAGACCTTCCTAATATGAAACTTGATAGAAAATCAAATAATAAACAAAACTGGAATCTAATACAATGAAATCTAAATACAAATGTCGTCTATAAACTGAAAACAAGGAAACAAAACATGTAGTATAATAATCATTAAACCTTTAACTATTATTAATGCATACTTATCCAGTTCAGTCATTTAGATTTTTCCACCTACGCTGTTAAACTTGTTTAAGTGGTGTAACCTAACCTAAAATTACACCAATTTTCTTCCCTTCATGAAACTTAATTACTCTGATTTTGAATCTATCTCTTTTACCTTTTTCCTTGTGTACATTTCTTTTTAGTGTTGTCGAGGCAAGATTAAAACTGGGAGCACCATGTACATAAATATGTACATATTATTTCTCTTTTTAAATCTAGCCGTTCTACATTTTAATCGCTTGAGAATTCAATCTGCCATTTTTTTCTTAAGACCGCCATTTTAAATCGGCCATCTTTAATTTTCCAACTCTGTAAATTCAAAATTAAGACTTGTAACATTTACATAGAAATCTCTGACGAAGGTTTGGATTAAAACCTGTTCAAACATCGTCTTCTGTTTACGGACAAGGTTTGATCTGATCATTACGTCCATTATATTTACAGATTATGAATAATATTCCTATAAAGACATGGACAGATAGATTAGGAAACAGACACACTGGGACAGAAGGTTAAAGTGAAGAAGACACTGGAAGGATGGATGCTGGAAGGATGGAAGGATATGGAAGAATAAAGGGTATAGGAGGATGGATGCTGGAAGGATGGATGCTGGAAGAAGGAAGTATAAATGAGAAGGAAACCAACTCAAATATGGTGTTTGATTGGGCCTCAGGGAGATCACAGTTAGTGAGATAGATAGACAGATAAATTTGTAGATTTGTTCCTGTATTAAAACATGGACTTTTATTTAACAATTGATAAATGAACATGTTTATTGATAGATAGATATATAGATAGATAGATTAATGTCTGTAGTGATAGAAAGATATTAGATGGATAATACCATTATCAAGGGTGATAAAAATCAGAAGCCTGTTCTGTTAAATTAAATCATTTTGTTGCGGTTTCTGCCATACAAATACTTAATCATAAGATTGAAATAGATATATTACCGATTGATGGATATTTTGCTGGTTTAACAGTTAAAATAGACATTTAACATTAAATTGGTTTTATCTGCTATGCAGTATGTCCCAAAAAACATTGACGTTTTTTAAGTGGCAACTTTGGTATTGTTTTAACACAATTATAATTGTATTCAGTTGTATTTTTGTACGTTTTTCTGTTTTATTTTATGATTTTTCTATATTTTCAATGTCTTTTTACTTTGAAAAAGATGTTGATCAATTTAGTGAATCAATTGATTCTATATTCTGATAGAATTGCCCCACCCTGTATCCTCCCATAACTGTCGGAATAAAGTCATAGCTCCTATAAACGTCAAAACCTTCAAGGCCAAAATCCGAGAAATAATTTGATTATTTTCCAAACCTAATATTTTGGTAAAAATCAATTAGCGGAAGTGTGCTGATATTTGGAATTGATGACTTCAACGTATATTTTGGTTTGAAGGAGTGGATGGGGGCGTTATGCAGAAATATAGAAGGAGGTTTAAAGGGTGAGGATGGGGGCACATCCAGTAGCAAAAAGACGTAGTGGGTTAAATAAAAAAGTTTTTTTTTCTTCATTTAAAACAATGAATAACAATTGCATCTTTAAAAAACAGCCAGAATACTGCATTTCTTAGATTTTCTTAGATTAGCAGAAACCAATAACAGATTTAATATTTCATGTTTATATAATTTTATAAATCGATGTTAAACCGCAGTATGGTTTGCTCAGAGAAAAAATACAAAATTAAAAATGACTGTTGTAGTGGTCAGGCGTGGGGAAATAAACTGTTTGACACAGAGAACTTTACCAAATATACAGTGAGACCTATAAAACTGTGGAATAGGAAGACGACTTAGGGACTTTATTTTAATAGTCCAATGAGCATAAAACATAGCAAGTGCAGTGTTTACAGACCCATTTCACTTGAAAAATGATTTTTAAGCTCCTGGTAAAACTATTTGCTTTATAAATGCACAGAAGATTGCTTAAATGTCGTCTTCCTATTCCACAGTTTTATTGATATTTATTTCCAATCAGAGACAAAAAAACAAGTTTTGTAAAATCCAACATTAACAATCATTTAATAAAGTCTTGAATATAATCATGTTTTTAGAATTAGATTAGTTTATGTTGCACACCCTGTATGGTTTACGTAAAACTCCAAAGACTGTAGATTTACATTTGACCAGTTTATCTTTTTAATGAAGCATAAAAAACTTGAATAAACAATTTATAAATTTCTCGTAAATAATTTCTATATATTTCTCGTAAATAATTTTTATTTATTTCTCGTAAATCATTTTTATATATTTCTCGTAAATCATTTTTATATATTTCTCGTAAATAATTTTTATATTCGAATAAGACTTAAGAGGAGAAAACAAGTTGAATTGTTTTGTTTTGATTATTCTTCATATAAAGGATTTTGATGTTCTTGATTTTCTTAATAATTTTGCTTGCAAGAGAGATTAATAAAACTAGAATTTTCAGTAAAGACCCACGAACAACAACAAAAAGTTGGTGCATGGTTTTAAAAATAATTTAACTAAATCAGATCTTATCGCGTGCGTATCTGTTCACCACTCCGTGCTCTGGACACTACTGACACTGACGCGCGCCGTGCGTTATTCTAACCTGTGTCGAAGTTTTTTAAAGATATTGTTACTCCGGTATATATTTAATATATAGTCTAATAACTAGGGCGTACACAGGGGGGGCAAAGGGGCAGTGCCCCCTCAAGACCTGTGAAGGGCAGGCGTAGCCCTCCCCCCTAGAACTCAGAGCTATCATACTTTTAACATCTGAAACTGAAGAGTGAAGAACATAAAAAATTAGTTTGCTGTTTGTTTTCTGCTAGTTTTGTTTGAAGAAGAGATAAAGTAGTACTTGTAAGGTAATTGGACTGTATGTGTACCTTTAAAGTATCTAAGAAGCCGAATGATTTGGATTTACAGTTCAAATTTTGCCCCCCACCCCCAAGGCTCTCCTAGGGGGGGGGGGTAAAAAAACATTTGGCACCCCCTACATTTATTTCTGTTGTGTACGCCCTTGTCTAATAAACATTTGCACCTTGTTCAACTGTACATAATTAATAAAAGTCTTAATAGTCATACCTTTAGACAAATCTTCAGACCAAATTTTAAATTGAAAAAGAAGAAATTTTTTCTAAAATTAAGTTTTAAAAATCTTGTTTTGACTTTCTGGTCAAAACAATAAATGTTTTGGGAGTAACGAGAGAAAAATGTCTGCCGGAGATATGACCCCCCCCCCCCCTCCTCAAAAAGGTTAAGCCCCCTGGACAAATTCTGTTTACGCCCATGATGTTAAAATTAAAAATCGACAGATACATAGATTTTACACCAATACATAAATGAATAGATATGTAAACAGCTAAATAGATGAATTATGTCGGACCAAATGTAAAATTGCAATGTTTTTACGAAACCGCGGATTTATAAAAGATAAAATCAAGTTAAAAGTTATAGATATACAAAATAGATAATAATTAGATAAATAAATAGATAAAAATGTAAACAGTAAAAATATAGATAGATAGATAAATAATTACATGAATAGAAAAATAGTTTTATAGATAGTTAAATCGATAGAAAACTAGATTAAAAATACTTCATGCTGTTAAGCCTGCAATGAAAGTATGAAATGCAGGCTAAAAAATGTTTAAAATGTTAAACTCGTGAAACATTGTTGTACTAGTCATCTTGTCCAGATAGACAGATAGACAGATAGTTAGACTCATAGAAATAAAGATATAAAAAGATAGACAAATAGACAGATACACAGATACACAGATAGACAAATAGACAAATAGTCAGATAGTCAGATAGACAGATAGACAGATAGACAGATAGACAGATAGACACAGATACACAGATAGACAGATAGACAGATAGACAGATAGACAGATAGACAGATAGACAGATAGACAGATAGACAGATAGACAGATAGACAGATAGACAGATAGACAGATGGATAGATAGACAGACAATTAAGTAATCTAACAATCCTTTTCATGTCTAGTACTAATTAACTTAACTATAAAAATGAACGCTTGAAAAAATGCATTTAACAAATTACAAGTTTACAATAAAAACTGTTGTAGAAAGAAGGACAATGTTATATACAAGGGGTGAAGGGGGTGGACGGGAAATCAAATAAATATAATTTGTTAAAGTTGAGGCATGATTATTGACTATTTGTCAATTATTGTTTTCGTAAGGGTCATATTAAAGGAATTGAGTTTTTGTCACAATTTTAAATTTTCTATTTCTATATCTTTGCAGCTTAAAGGTGTAAAGCTATGATTTTTTAAACTTAGATTATTTAATCTGACAGAAATTATAGTTTGAAATATTAAAGGTCTACATCATCAAGTTGCAAAGATAAAGGGATTATTAAATATGAGTTTATGACAAAGACTCAATTTCTTAAAGTAAATTTTATGTTGGATTAAAATATTAAAGTATGTTTTCAACCATATTTAAAGATCTATTAAGAAGAAGAAATAGTTTTTAATTTCTAATATAAAAGGTTATGTGTATAGTTATTATTGTTACAAATCTTAAAGTTTAACCAACTTAATAACAATGTTTTTCCATTAAAGACGGCCAATGTTGGCTTGGCAAATCCCGTCATTAAAGTGTTAGTTTAAAGAATATATCTATGTAAAATTATGGACTTTAATGATAAATATATATCTATCTATCTATTTAAGTTAATAAAACATTTGAATATGTTGATTAGAATACCCTACCTACTAGTTTTCAAAATCCGATTTCTTTTTCGTTTTTGTTGATAAAATTACACATTTTCTTTAAGGGATGTCCGTATTTTTGAAAATGTAAACTGAATTTTCTTTAAGCGCTATTAGACTTCTGATATTTTAATCCATCAGTTTCGTAACATCAATATAAACTACAACTTTAAAATATCGATGGTTACTAGGAAGATAAAAAGGTTAGAAGATTAGAGTGTGTGACGTGTGTTATAGTTTCATGTAATGTAATGGTAGCATTGAAATTTTAGTCAATGCTTTTAGAAATTGTGTTCAAAAAACTTCAATGAATGAAAATAAGCCGGTTAACAACTTCGAACATTATTTTGAATTGATAAACATTGTTTTATTTACAGACTCCATAAATAAATCCTGTCACGTGTTGACTAAAGTCCACGAACTAAAACTGCTTTTGTCAACTTAAACCAGAACTAAACGAGGTATAACACAAATTCTAACTGTTTGTTTTTAAACAATAACAGTCCAACATAGAAGAGACGGATCATGAAAACAATATTTTAGCCGTCGCCCCCCCCCCTACCTCCTCACTTTTATCCTTTTCATATATTTAAATTAATTAGATCTTATTGAAATAATTGAAAAGATTGGTTTACCTTTTCCCATTAATCTCCCTTTAAGGGGATTTGGTGTACCATCCCGTTTTGCCTTGTGTACTGTACAGCTTGCTCTAGCTGATTAAAGGTTGGGTCTGTACTTAAAATGAACCAGAGTGTACAGTGTCTTAGCAATATGATGCAATGATGCAATGATGATGCAATGAAATTAAAAAGTGGGGGGGAGATGGGGCTGGGAGGTAGGGATGTTAACGTTTTCATTTTTCAGAAAAACGATCGTTTCGTTATGAAAACGACGACGAAATCTTCTCACCTAAATATAAAATAGTAGATCTAGAATAAAAGTAGGATTGAGTAATCTCAGATGTTGCGCCCCAGGACATATTTGATTGTCACACGACAGTTCACCAGCCACAAACAGACAACAGATGGGGACACAGACACAC